AATCTCTTTTTTAAATTAATTAATTTTTTTTACTGAAGGATAACTGCTTTATAGAATTTTGGTTTTTGTAAAACCTCAACATGAATTAGCCATAGATATACATATATCCCCTCCCTTCCGAACCTCCCTCCCATTTCCCTTCCCACCCCACCCCTCTGGGTTGATACAGTCCCCCTGTTTGAGTTTCCTAAGCCACACAGCAAACTCCCGTTGTCTATTTTACACATAGTAATGTAAACTTCCATGCTACTCTTTCCATACATCTCACCCTCTCCTCCCCTCTCCCCATGTCCATAAATCTATTCTCTATATGTCTGTTTCTCCATTGCTGCTCTGTAAGTAAATTCTTCAGTACTATTTTTCTAGATTCCATATATATGCATTAGAATACAATATTTAATCTTTCTCTTTTTGACTTACTTCATTCTATATAAAAGGTTTTAGGTTCATCCACCTCATCAGAACTGACTCAAATGTGCTCCTTTTTACCCCATTGTGTGTATGTACCACAGCTTCTTTATCCATTCATCTGTTGATGGACATCTATGTTGTTTCCATGTTCTAGGTACTATAAATAGTGCTGCAATGAACAACGGGATATATGTGTCTTTTTCAATTTTGGTTTCCTCAGGGTATATGCTTACGAGTGGGATTGTTGGGTCCTATGGTGATTTTACTCCTAGTTTTTTAAGGCATCTCCATACCGTCTTCCATTGTGGCTGTATCAATGTACATTTCTACCAACAGTGCAAGAGCGTTCCCTTTTCTTTACACCCTCTCCAGCATTTATTGTTTATAGACTTTTTGATGACAGCCATTCTGACCCATGTGAGGTGATATCTCATTGTAGTTTTGATTTGAATTTCTCTAATAATGAGCTATGTTGAGAACCTTTTTGTGCGTTTGCTAGTCATGTGTATGTCTTCTTTGGAGAAATGTTTGTTTAGGTCTTTTCCCCATTTTTTGATTGGGTTGTTTCTTTTTCTGATATTGAGTTGTATGAGCTGCTTGTATATTTTGGAAATTAATCCTTTGTCAGTTGTTTCATCTGTTACTATTTTCTCCCATTCTGAGGGCTGTCTTTTCACCTTGTTTATAGTTTCCTTTGCTGTGCAAAAGTTTTTAAATTTAATCAGGTCCCATGTGTTTACTTTTGTTTTTATTTCTGTTGCTCTAGGAGGTGGGTCATAGTGGATCTTGCTTTGATTTATGTCATCCCTAAGGAGACAAAAGAACTGTATACAGAAAATTACAAGACACTAATGAAAGAAATCAAAGACAACATAAACAGAGAAATATTCCATGTTCCTGGATGGGAAGAATCAATATTGTGAAAATGAATATACTACCAAATGCAATCTATAGATTCAATGTGATCCCTATCAAATTACTGGTGGTATTTTTCACAGAATTAGAACAAAAAAATTAGAACAAAAAAATATGGAAACACAAAAGACCCCAAACAGCCAAACCAGTTTTGAAAAAGAGGAATGGAGCTGGAGGAATCAACCTTCCTGACTTCAGATTATACTACAAAGCTACAGTCATCAAGACAGTATGGTACTTGCACAAAAACATAAATATAGACTAATGGAACAAGACAGGAAGCCCAGAAATAAACCCATGCACCTACGATTGCCTTATTTTTGACAAAAGAGGCAAGAATATACAATGGGGCAATGACAGCCTCTTCAATAAATGGTGCTGGGAAAACTGGATAGCTACATGTAAAAGAATGAAATTAGAACACTTCTGAACACCATACACAAAGATAAATTCAAAATGGATTAAAGACCTAAATGTAAGACCAGAAACTATAAAACTCTTAGAGGAAAACATAGGCAGAACACTAGATGACATAAATCAAAGCAGACTCTTAATCTCTTATCTCAACTACTGTCTATCTCTTACCCAGTCTCCCTTGGTCTTATCTTTCTGCCTGACCAATACATTATTTATAGGGCTACTGGCCTCTACGAGAAAATAAGGACTGACTTTATTTATTCTTTGGATCTTCTTTTCCTGCCCTAGGTCCAGGCACTAAAATATTTATTTAAATTATTTTATGTCTGCTGCTTCTCATTTGAGAAATCTCTTGAGTAACCCCTGGTTTTCAGAAAAAGTTATAAAGAGTTGACTCCGCAACCAAGTCTTCCAGGTTGTAGACCACGCTGTCCTTTAGCACAGCATTCTACCATACACACAGCAAGTCTTTGTAAATGACAAGCTCTCCCTCTGTAATGTGCACTTTCTCTTGACACTACTTACAAACACCTTCAAGATGCAAGTTAAGCATCTGTTTCATCACAAAATCTTCTTCAGTACTGCTTTCAGATTAAAGTTCTTCACTCTCTCTGCCTTCTGAGGACTTTCTTTATACTTCTATTTATGGGACTCTGCCTGGTCTTATGCTAAATTTCCCACAGATCTATCCAGTTATCAGACTTCTTTCCTAGTAAGCAGGAAGCTATATTTCAGGATAAGCTTTGTCTTTCTCCTCCACCTGCTATTCCTCTGCAAGATTCATTTTTGAAGCCTCTGTATTTAGCAAAGTAATAATACATGCTCAGTAAATATTTCTTGAATACATAATTTCCCAATGAACTATGTGTTCTTTGAGGACAGATATTGTGCCTTATTCATTTATATGCCTCACAGTGACTGGAAAATACTGAGTAACAGAAATTGCTACAGGTTGGTTTAAATATTAGACTTATTCAGAGTGGCCTTCTGGGTTAGTGAAATATTTGGTTAATACTAAAACAATCTGTCATTTCTTCATTGTAAAAAGTTGTGAGTATTTTATATATGCTGAATCTCATTCCAGCAACAGGAGGTAGAACTGTAAACAAGATAAACCACACATAACTTGAAGTAGAGGGAATAGTTGTATAGCTAATAAGTTCACTGTCCCCCAAATAAAGTTTTTCTAAATACCTGAACGCAATGCTCAGTCATACCAACTTGAAACCCAAGAATTATCAGTGACTTCTCCCGACATCCTGCTTCAAGTGGTATTTGGCAAAATGTAAAATTGCTGTCACTGGATGATGGTGGCAGTGGTGACTACATTATCCTACTCCTTTTCTCTTGTAGCTCAGTTGGTAAAGATTCTGCCTGCAATGCAGGAAACCTGGGTTTGATCCCTGGGTCGGGAAGATTCCCTGGAGAATGAAATGGCAACCCACTCCAGTACTCTTACCTGGAGAATCCCAAGGACAGAGAAGCCAGGCAGGCTACAGTCCATGGGGTTGTAAGAGCTGGACACAACTTAGCAGCTAAACCACATTCCTTTTCAAGTTCAATGCTATTCCTCAAATTCAAGCCCTCATTTTGCCTTCTGGAACAACTAAAAGGATTTTCTAACAACCCTTTCCACTTTTGTACTTCCCATCTCTAACATTCCCTTTTCAGTATTGCCAGAATAATTTCCTTAAGAAGTAGTGATCTTATTACACAGCTCTGCTCAAAAGCCCTCAATGGCTTTGCACTGCAAACACAGCAGAACACTGTTCAGACTTTTTAGCCTTATACTCAAGGCATCTTCTAAAACTGACTTCTAATTTGTCATTCCAGACGCATTGGTACTGTTGTTCCTATAATCCAAACTCTGCCCACAATTTGCTTTTGATTTTGTATATTTGAATATTTCACATAAAACACATCTCCATCTATTTTATTCAAATTCTGCCTATACTTCTAGGCCCAATTCAAGGATCTTGAATTTGTGATTTTTTTTCCCTTCTACATATAAAAGTTCAATTTACTTTGTGCTTTTCTCTCTAAGTTCACCTGTTTCTAACTCATATTTTCATTATTTAGGAATATAGCTTCTGTATCCAACTAGAGTGTATTTAATCACTGATTCAATAAATATGTAATAGGCACTTACTGTATTTCTGTTATTCCAAAGCACCAAATATGTATTATATTCAGAAGTAAATACTGAATAAATTTTCAAACAAAAATGCACAAAAATCAAAATAGTATTTTTCTAAAATGAACAATAATATCCACCAAAGAGATACAAAAGAATGGTAAAAACAGCAGCTCATCAAATTTTAAGTATGTATGAAAGGGTTGGTAAGTTAGGAGAAAATAGAATCAAATAAAAAGCTAAGAATATTTGTTCAAAATAATATGGAAATATTGAATCAACCTTGCGCATATCAATTTATGGATGTGTCTATAGTTTAGAGATGCAAATTTATAAACACATGCATAATATGTCCATCAACTGGAAATTACATACAGTGTCAACCCTTATTGAAATGAGAATTGCAAGGAAATGTTTCCTTAGTTACCATTTAATAATTTTTGTGAAATTTAATAAAAGTTTATGTGATGAAGTATTTTTTTTTCTTTTCAAAGGAAACAGCTTTAGAAGATGATTGATGCCTGCTATTATGAGTCTATATTTGTACTTCCTTATTTTAGAAACTTTTCAAAAATACAAAAATACACTTAAAGCATTTCCAGTTCAACTAAAAATAAAGATAAAAAGGTGATTATTTATAGGCAATCATATTCATGATGATAGACTCTCAGAAGCCAACTCCAAATATAAATTTTAAATGCTTTTTGGAAAGAGTTGAGAATGAAAACATTTACATAATTTCTTAGAAACCCTGGCTTTTTATTGCTGCACTTCAATATTCCCTCAGGGCAAAGGAGCAGTTACTTCAAAGATTTATTTGATAATGGAACATTTGATTTCTTTGTTTTTCCTTCCCAATGTGGGTAGGTCTGTTGTTTCCACTCTATGGCAGTGTGCTATATTTTAAAATTTGAATTGGCTCACTAGTGATAACAAAAAATGAGTCTTTTTTTGGCAGATTAAGCAAACATACTAATGCCAGCAATAAGGATATAAATTACATAAATATACTAGATTATTACAAAACCATCCACTCAGGTATCAGTCATCTTCAATAGCAGACCTGCCACTTCATAATGATATAACTGGTAACTGATATCAAATGTCTGAAACTTCTACTTACCTGCCTATCCACTTCTGGGAGCAAAAGCAGGAGGTACTGTTGAAAATGCTGAGGTAAGGAAGCAAATGTATGTTTATTTATTAATGCCCTCAAGTTAGTGTTGACAAGAATAGATCCCGGGGTTTCTATGTCAATGTCCTCAGCTTTGGTCCATTTCAAGTGTCCTGTGATAAATAAGCAAGAGGTATGAATTCACTATAGATTGGGAAAACATACACCTGTACACACACATAAAATGTATACTGAAGGTATATAAATATATTCGATAATGTATTTAATTGTGTCTCTTTTCAGAGTAGTGATATTTCAGAAGAAAATCTCCAATGCTTCTTTGCGTTTCTATCTTGCCTTAGTTGTCTTTAATCTTCGTAATGTCTACTTCACTCAACACCATCTGTTTATTTAACCCAAAATAGCACCAGGTCTAGATAAAGTTGATAAAAATATATGGAACGCAGCATTAAAAATGAGACAAAAATGCAGGATAGAGCAAAAATACAGGGAATAGATTAAGTAGTCAGGATGCACATTTATAGGAATTTGAGAATGAAAAAACACAGCAGATCGCAGAGGGGCAATATTTGAAGAGCAAATGTTTCTCCAAGTTTAAGAACTAAAAAATGACAAGAGTCCTCAGAAAAAGCAACACACCAAATCACAAAAAGGATGAATACTCATTCCTCCATCTGATGTGTTGAAACAGCAAAATATCAAAAATAAAAAGATTATCTTGAAATTATTTTGAGCAAAAACAGATTACCTGCAAAGAGATCAATGTAAGACCCAGGAATCGTATTACCAATAAATAACAGATGACAATGAAATATCTTCAAAGGGCCAAAAGAAAATAAGTTTTGATCTAGAATTTCATTAACAAAAATCCTTCTAAATGGCAATGACAGAAATGATATAAGAATATTTTCAGTACTATCCAAAATGGAAATTCTCTCAAGATATGCAGATGATACCACACTAATGACAGAAAGAGAAGAGGAACTAAAGAGCCTCTTGATGAAGGTGAAAGAATAGAGTAAAAAGCTGGCTTAAAACTCAGCATTTAAAAAAGCCTAAAATGGTGACATCTGGTCCCATCACTTCATGGAAATAGATGAAGAAAAAGTGGAAACAGTAACAGATTTTATTTTCTTGGGCTCCAAAATCACTGAGAATGGTGACTGCAGCCACAAAATTAAAGGATTCTTTCTTCTTGGAAGAAAAGCTATGACAAACCTAGGCAGTGTATTAAAAAGCAGAGACATGACTTTGCTGACAAAGGTCCGTATGTCAAAGTTATGGCTTTTCTGTAGTCATGTACAGATGTGAGAGCTGGACCATAAAGAAGGTTGAGTGCTGAAGAATTGATGCTTTTAAATTGTGGTGCTGGAGAAGATTCTTGAAGAGTCCTTTGGACTGCAAACCAGTCAATCCTAAAGGAAATCAACCCTGAATATCCATTGCAAGGATTGATGCTGAAGCTGAAGCTCCAATACTTTGGCCACCTGATGCAAAGAGCCAACTCATTGGAAAAAGACAGTGATGCTGGGAAAGGTTGAGCACAAGCGGAGAAAGGGGCGACAGGAAGAGAAGGCTGGATGGCATCGCTCTCTCAACGGACATGCTGTTGCTGCTGCTGCTGCTAAGTCGCTTCAGTCGTGTCTGACTCTGCGACCCCATAGACGGCAGCCCACCAGGCTCTGCTGTCCCTGGGATTCTCCAGGCAAGAACATTGGAGTGGGGTGCCATTTCCTTCAATGCATGAAAGTGAAAAGTGAAAGTGAAGTCGCTGAGTCGTGTCCGACTCTTTGGGACCCCATGGACTGCAGTCTACCAGGTTCCTCTGTCCATGGGAGTTTCCAGGCAAGAGTACTGGAGTGGGTTGCCATTGCCTTCTCCACAATGGACATGAGTTTGTGCAAATTTGGGAGATAGTGAAGGACAGGGAAGCCTGGAGTACTGCAATCCATGGGGTTACAAAGAGTCGGACACAATTTAGCAACTGAACAATAATCCCTTAGAGAATCATGCTGAAAAATCACTAGTGCATGCTTTTAACAAACAAAGAAATTAACTCAAAGAATGAATGGGTGGGTTGCAGAAGTAATAAAAAGCTAGAAGATGAATAGATATAACTCCAAATAAATACTAACAGTGGAAAATAAAACTAACAGGAGTTAAAATGGAAAAAAGAAAAAGAAAACATTACACACTTGCATGAGAGATGATACAGTGTGACTGAATTGAGACTGAATAACTCTGGCACTGTTTGGGAACAAAAAGATACCATCTAGTTTTTAACTTTGTTAAAACTCTATAGGTAGAGTCTATAGGTTGCCATTGGGAAAAATGAGAGAACTTCCAAATAAATTCCTGGAAAGAAAACTCAATCACATGAAGTCATAAAAGGAGAAAAAAAATGTAATTAAGTCCCCCAACATAATAAAAAAATATACAAGTGGATTTTCATTTTAGTTTTTAAAAGTAACACAATCCAATTATATGCTGCCTTACAAGAGATATACTTAAAGAGCACATGAATAGAAGAAAATGAGGGGAAAATCTCAAAACAGCAGGCAGACATTCAACACAACAAGAAAAGCAATACTACAATATTAACACCAGATAAAGATAAACAAAGCTTAAAAAAAAAAAAAACCCTTTTTGGGGGTAAGAAAGTAACTCCTTAGGTATAAAATGAATAATTCACTGGGAAAATACAATGACCTTAAGCCTGCATCCATTTAAACTGCATAACATTCAAACTTTAAAATTGAGAGAATTAAAAAGAGAAATTGGTACTCTATAATGCTAGTGGGATATCTGCACATATCTTATCAGACATTAGATGGTGAAGAACCTGCCTGCAATACAGGAGACCTGGGTTCAATCCCTGGGTCAGGAAAATCCCCTGGAGAAGGGACTGGCTACCCACTCCAGTATTCTTTCCTGGGAAATCCCATGGACAGAGGAGCCTGGGGGGCTGCAGTCCATGGGGTCACAAAGAGTTGGACACGACTGAGTGACTGAGATGACAGGTAAAAAACTTGTCTTAAGAATGCAGAGGACTTTAAAAACTCTATAATCAATCTTAAGCCAATGAATTTAACATACAGCACTGAACTGAGATAAGGCATTTTTTTTAGTCAGCACTCAAGGAACAGTTAAAAAAAAAAAAATCCAAAACAGACCAGTGAGTCTCAACAAATACTGAAGAATAATAGAAAATCTTATCTTTTTATCTACAAAGAAGTAAACTTAGATATCAATAACAGAAATGTAGCAACTCTCTGGTCTTCCCACACCCACTATATGTTTGGAAACTTGGAAGCAAACTTCTAAGTAATTCTAAGTAATGGAAATTACAAAATATTTAGATTCTAAGTGACATGCCAAAAGTTATAAAAAGCAGATAAATTGGTTTTAAAGATAAATTGTGCATATTTAAGAGTAGAAAAAATACTGAAAATTCAAGACTTGAGTGTGCAAATCGAGAAGTTAATGAATGAACTATAGAATAAAAACTGAAGAAGAAAGACTGTCAAGAAGCAGAATGGATATTCATAAATAGAAAAGAATTATAACCATCAAGAACAGAAAAAGGATTTTTCTCATTAGCATTAATAAAATAGGTATGCCTCTAATGAGAGATGGCTTAAATAAACATTAATAGGAATAAAGGGTAGGCACATAATTTGAGGTATAGTATAGATTCAAAGGCAAATATAATTACAATGAAAATTAGATTTAAAAAAGTATGTGCGTGCATATGCTCAGTCATGTTAGACTGCTACCAGGCTCCTCTGCCCATGGAATTTTCCAGGCAAGAATGCTGGAGTGGGTTGCCATTTCCTTCCTAAGGGAATTTTCCTGACCCAGGGATTGAACCTGCATCTCTTGCGTCTCCTGCACTGGCAAGCAGATTATTTACCACTGTGCCACCTGAGACAGGTGTAAAAAGCATACTACTATGATTTTAGCCAACACCTTTGAAGACAGATAAACTAAAATATTTCAAGTTCACAAATTTTCAAATTATATTAAAAATAGCAAACCTCCATAAATTTGTGTAAATTCTTGTAAAATAAATAGAAAACCCTCCTACTCAAAGTGTACACACATCACATATTACAAACAGCTCTGAAGACTAATTTTACCAATACATCAAGCAATTCTCCCACCACTTATCTTATATATATATTTCAGAGAATAGGTAAAGAAAGACACTCTTAAGTTTACTTTATGAAGTTAATATAACTTCTATTTCAAAATAAGGACATATAAGGATAATATGAGAAAGAGAATTTGTGGCCAATCTCACTTATAAACACAAAAATGTACAATTAAAAAAGAAAAAATCTAAAGTATTCCAAAAAAACTCCTGACATTTGTTAGGAGTGAAGTCAAAGTGATACAGATGTATGTTTGATCAGCATCTTTATTCTTCTACATATTTAAAGTGTTTCACAGGAAAATAAAATAGACTACCAGGAGAAAGGAATTAGGAAGAAGTTATTTTTTCTCAGCAGGGGAGGCAAAGGTAAAACTTAGACACAGAAATGTTGAAAATATAGAAGAGGAATCTGCTTGATTCTAATCAATGGTTGAACTACTCTCCATGAGAGGAAGTTGGGGTCATTTACCAAGGGTGACTTTGAGAGGGAGTATTGGGGAAATGGGAAAATTGTAAAACTTTAGAAACATGTTATGGACAATGTGAGAAATCAAACTCATGCTGTTGGTTACTATCCGGCATGGTTCAAAATATTTAAGAGCATCAAAAGGGAAAAAAGAAAGATTCAGAGAGGTACATAGGCTTTTATGACAGAATCAAAAAACAAGATCTATTTCAAAGATGTCCATCTAAGCTAAAACATTCATTATAATCTCTAACAAAGTGCAGATGAACTTATTGCTAAATTTGTTGCCACACAGGATGTTTAATCCCATTTTAATTATCCTAACATACTTACTCTTAACTGGTTTAAGAACAAGCTCATTATATCTGATCTTATCTTATACCTGTCTTATCTTATCAAAGCTGGTACTCACCTCCCTACACTAATCAGAGGAAAAGATGCAGTTATCTTAGTGTTTAATTCCTGGACACTAGAGAGTATAAGACTTCCCTGGTGGCTCAGATGGTAAAGTGTCTGTCTACAATGTGGGA